TTGGTAATGTATTATTTACACTTGACGATGGTGATAATGTATGTGTAGTATTATTGATATTAGCTGATAAACCATCATGACCAGCAAGTAAAGAACGTGTTGTATCACCATTTGGTAAACTTGTTACATTTGTTAATGAACTATTAGGAGTAAGCAAATCATCTATATTATACCTAAAATGAATTTAAATACAAATAATATATATGTATATGTATATTTAATAATAGATCTTACGGTGGAAGAGCCATGAGATTACTAACAGGTGGGAGTATATGATTAGTAGCAGTTGTAGTTGAAGGTAATGTTAAATCACCACTAAATAAATGTGACATGTATGATTCGAAGAAAAGAAATCTAGAACGAATATTAAACCACTGTTATTTGATAGAAACCGATGTTTCACTTGATTAAAAATAATATATGACAATCTTATCATTTGTTTTGCTTTAAAAACACGTTTTTTATTTTTTTTATGACTTTTGTTTTACTTCAATGAAGCAAAACAAATTGAAAAAAAAATATAATAGAATATTTTATGATATATCAAAAGTAGAGCATTCTTTTACCATCAATTATAATTAGTGTATCATTTTCTCAATTAATAAAAACAAAACATATTTATTCTTTAGAAAAATTTAAGTAAAATTTTTTTCGAAGTATTTATCAATTAAAAATCTCGAGAAAAAAACAAATTATTTTATTCTTAAGTGTTTTTATGAGTAAAAAATAGCAGCCTTTTTGGATAATTGATCATTCTATTCTAATCTAAGAATATCTAATTCGATAAATAAATATAAAGAGCAATAATCTATTATGAGGTCAAAAGAAGTAATATAACAACATGTCTCGTAATATTTATTAGTTAATACAGTGTGTAATAGACAAATTGTAGCTCGCGGGATTTTCTATTGATTAATATAAAATGACATCTTGTTGACAACCTTTTGTATAATTTGATTTTATTCATAATACACTCAATACGAACTCAACAAGTATAAAGAATTGTGTTAAAAATTCCCTTATGGAAATAAATTTATATTGACATATTTTTATTTATTACTTTAAAATAAATCTGTCGAAACTATTCAAAGTAGAATTTCTTATGTATGTAAGAGGTTATAACAATAGGAGAAAGAAATATTTCTACATTGGTTATTTTTATCCTAATCGTAACAATGAAAATAAACATGTTTTTTTTCAAGATAGACGATTCAGTCCAATGATTTTATCCATGAGTGTTTGTTATTCATCGTAATGTTTTTTTTCTCTTTAAATTATAAATATTCGAATCTGTACTAATTCACTATTCTAATCAATAAAAAATTAGTTTTTTTATTCTATAGAGTTTTGAGAAAAATAAATTAATATTCTTTGCATTTATCATGTTACGATAGATTGTAATGTGCTTTACTTTCTCAATGCAAGTAGAAAAGATTTCTTGAGGAATTAAAAAGAAATATATAGAATAATATATGTAATAAGGGTGAAAAACAACTTCTATGACAGAAAGTTGTAAACATCAATAGAATGGAAAGAGAGAAGAAGAAGAAGAAGAAAAAAGAATAATATCGCGGAAATAGAAAACCATGACTGCTTTTTTCTTACGATAGAAAAATATGAATTCCATTCTTCTGAATAGAACGTAAAAAAACCTAGTCGTCTATATTCCTTACAGGAAAATGAGAACTATGACAAAATATTCTATACAGTTGACTAATGATGTCTATCTATATCATATTAGTATGTCCATATTATGACATTTGTCATTGAACTTTCTATTGTTTTAATTATTTTGAAATCTAAAACTACTTACATATGGATTTATTAATAATAATCTAAAATATGTACGTATATTCATTTAAGATCATTAACCTTTTTCTCTTGAATTTGCTAGTTCTAATATTCTAATATATTCCAGATCGAAATATTAATCTATTACAGATGATTTCTAAGCGTATATAATAAACGCATTTTTTTCTAGTCTCATTTCATCAAATAATGTGTCTATGCGACTAAAATATCTATACGTATAAGAATCAAATTACTCATTTAGTTACTAAATATGGATACAAATATTAGAAATAATGAAGAACAACAACAATTAATTCCAATGTATCCGTTATCAAAAGAAAAGAACTCGAAAGATGACGATGATAATATTATTACATTATGTGAAACAAATGGCAACACTGAAAAACATATGACAACAGAAACTAAACAACCAATATTAATTCTACGTATTTATACATGGTTAGTTAAAAACTTAAGATCAATACATCTACCACATTTGTCTGATAAAAATTTACGTATTGTATTTCTTATATTTATAATATTAATTGGTTTAACTAGTTTTACCATAGCACTGATTGTTGGATCAAGTATAGTACAATTTAAACAACAATGTCCATTATATGCATCATTTAAATTTCAAACATTTGTCAATAGTCATGCAAATTGGACAATTAAAATAATACCATTAACAGAAAAATTTAGTTCACAATCAACATGTGATTTTTGTACATTTTACAATGTTTTTACATTTATCTATTGTATTATGACAGGATTCTTTTTTATTCTATTCAATGGTGATCATAGTATAGTTACAACAAATGATCAATGTTTGATCATACCATGGTATGAAAAAAGAAAAACTATTCATTTTATAATTTTCTTCTACTTATATTTTAGGTTTCCTATATCTATTATTCTCGGTTTTTTCTCCTTAATAAATGCATCTATATTAACAAATGGTTTTCTTAAATTTTGTACAACGATGACATCAAATGATAATCATATTAATACATGTACTCAACTAAATAATTTATATTTCGAACAATATCCCAATGTCTCATCTTTTTTTATGTATATGTTACTAGCTATAATATCTTCATGGTTTCAATTAGCATTTTTTATTGGTATTATTACAATTCTTACTATTCGTCTTGGTTCATCATTTGATCGAAGTAATAATGACGATAATAAATTAAACGGAAAGCCGAATAATAATCTTCTACAATCTATGGAACAAACATAGAATTAAATAAACAAACAAACAAAAATTTGTATTTTTATAGATGAAAAGACATTTATTTCGATTGTTATATATATAAAAAAAGAAAAGAAACGAGAAACGAGAGAGAGAGACAGACGTAGAAGACAAGAAAAACGTGTTGTTTGACAAAATGATGATTAACACAAAGAAATACACAATTACATAACAATATCATCCGGCTAGTTTGAAATATATATATAAGCAAAAAAAGAAGAAAAAAATTAACTCCGATTTATATGTATTTTTTGTCAAATTAGAGCTGAATGGCAAGAATAAACTGTTTTCATAAATTTTATTTTCTTACTCTTTATTGACTGAGATATAAATAAAACTTAATTTCGAGTAACATCTTTTTCAAGTTTTTCAAAGATTTTTCGAGCATTACGAATATTCATTAATGTTACTTCGGATGCTAAATAAAAAAAAAGAAAAAAGATTATTTTTATATTTAAATTTTCATATATATTTCAAAATAAATAAAAAAAAAGAAGTTATCTCATTTTGACTGAACTATAATAAATATTGATTAATCATACTGTAAGGCAATCAATCTTCGTTGATACTAAGAGAGCAAACATGCGATATAGAAAACAAAAGAATTTATATATGACACTTTTCGATAAAACAGTCGTTTTTTTTTCACTATCAAAATCGTATGACAACGGAGACATTTATTTCTTAAGATTACAATCGACTTCAACTTACAGATAGATGGATCACTGATAACAACCATTACATAAGTATTTGGTGTTAATAATTCAATAAAACAAGCAAATGTTGAATTACGCACTTCCATGGATTGAAATGCTGCAGTTAATTTACTAGATATAGAAATATTTCATATAAGAACCTAGGAAAATCTTTTAATTTTCTATTTACCTGCAGGATAATTTAAACTGTTTGATAATATCACTGATTTTTTCAAACCGTCTTGCATCTCTATGCGCTTTACGCGTACAATGTGAAATAACCTATCAAATTTTTAAACTATTTCTTTTGTTTTTGGTCTAATTAAAATGTTTACCAGAAAAGTTGCTTTTTCAAATAGAAGAATCTCATCAGCATCGATAATTTCAGCAAAATTTGTCAATGTTCTTTCTAATCCTTTAACATTTGGTACTAATTGATAAACAATTTGTGACCAAGCCTAAGAGAAAAAGTATATATATATATTATTCCAGTACAAAAATAATTTACTTTATAAAGTGTTTCATCCCAAATAGATGTTTGAAAACATGAACATTGTAATGGTTTAGATAAATCTGTTAGAATACTTTGTCGTTCAGCGAAAACCTTAATGAAAAACAAAAATAAGTAATAGAGAAAACTAAATAATAATCATACAGTTTCACGCATATCTTCCGATATTAAATCCATTTTATGAATAAGACAGAAGATTTTTGCATGACTTGAATGTTGTAAAATTGATTCAAGACATGACTGATAATAGTGTAAATCCTAAATAAGATTCAATTTTAAAAGACTATATATTCAATTTTTGTTTTCTATGACAAACTTTATCTAATTCTTGACTTTGAACATCGAAGACATAAATAAGTACTTCAACATTTTTAAATATATTATCTTTTTGGGCAGCAAAATAACATTCCATAAATGCTTCTTGACCACCACAATCCCATAAATTTAATATAAGATTACCGAGAAAACGAACATATGATTGTTCAACATCCACTAAAGAAAATAAATGAGAATATTTAATTGATTTCGATTATAGAAAATAATTATTTGTCTTATACTTGTAGCACCGAGACGTCGAGTATCTTTAGCACTATAATTAGCAAATATAATTGAACGCATTGATGTTTTTCCTCCACCACTTTTACCCATTAATAATACCTAACCACGAATATTAGATGAATAAATTAAAAAAGATTATAGAACATTGTTACCTTTTTTCGCATCATTTTTTCTTAGAAATTTTGTACAAATCTTAAAAAAAGAATTATATATTTATTTTTTACTTATTCAGAAATAAATAGAAAATTTAAGATATTGGATTAATGAATTATAAAAGTATAAAAAATTTTGTCTGTTTATTTATTTTCTGTGCTTTTGTTTTTTATTTGGCTACAGAAAAATGGTTGTAGATTGACATTACAGATGGCGGTGTATGTCAATTTAAGATGATCGACTGTAGATATGATTATAATATAGTTCGTTATATTAAATCAAAAGAATCTCTCACATATAATTTATATAATATTATCACATGAAATAAGCAGAATGTTGAAGCGACAAACTATCGTAAAATGTGATATTTCTAATGACGTGCTATATCAAGCATCTATTTGTGACCAGTAATAGCAGTCGTGAATAATATTATATAGATCAACCGAAAGAGGGAACAGATGAACTATTGTATAATAAAATTCTTTTCCCATGACTGAACTTGCAAAATCTTCGTCCGATCTCATTCAATTACCTCCTCCTCCTCCAGTCATTTCATTTATCTAGTCCCGAAAAGGAAAATCAAGATTCTAATAAATGAATACACTTTCATGGACTATCTAGATGGATTATATAGTATAAAACGTGTCTGACTATTCATCATATTCTGAAACGAATTTCAACATTTTTGCCCACCGAATTTTTAACATTTTCCCTTTCGACTAAACTACGACACACCGCTGTCTTTGGACCATATTCTATACAAAAAAAAAAGGGAGAATAAGAAAAATAATGATTACTTTTATACTGACTTTTTATTCTAATATTAGTTGATCAAGGATCATTGCTTTGCAAGTATTTCCCTAGTCGAACTTCTTCTAACATGCGCATGAAAAACATTTCAGTTTTTTTCTCAGTTTAACGTTCAAAATGACTCTATTCTTTATAAAAACTCAAGTACCCGTTTTGAACAAGAAAGTCATGCGCTATGGATACTTCTTCAGATCTGTGCAGATAAAAAATAAAAAAAGAAATTCGCCTGCGGATTTATATATATATATCTTTTTTTTTCTTTCTCTAACATATATAGATCTGCATATGCTTAAGTATCTAAGGGGCATGTTTGTATTCATTAAACACATATAGCAGTCATAAATAATGGAACAACGCCATAGAATGTATCTAAACAGAAGAAAGTATAAAACTGAACCATTTATTTGAAATGAATAACAGTTTATATCTAAATCTATTTTCATGAACCCTTGAACTAAAAGATAAAGACGAACTCAAGGTATTAATACTCGAAGAACTATTATAAGCCTGATTTCACATGAATCAGTCATTAATCCATAGGATTCTTTCACAAATCTCTAATCCAACATCTTTTGTGCTATGTTATATTCAGTTTTATATGTAGAAAGAACATTTGATTACTTCACTCTCTCTCTCTGTCTTGTTTTTTCAAACAATCATTGACAAAATAAGTTAACATGATCCTATGATTATTTATGAAAATAAATATCACAAAAAAAACAAAAAAGATCTATTATTTTATTTCGATCTGAGACCATTCAGGTAATGAACCAGTAAAAGTAGTCATATCGGATATTTTATATTGTAATGCATGTAAATACATAATAAGTTGATCTGCTGGTGGTTCACGAAATTGATTTAAACATTCAAAACAATGTTCTTTAATATATGTTTTAACTGCATCATCATCATTGACATCAATTGTTTTTGTTTCTTCAGTTTTAATTCTTTTCGTATCATCACCGATCTCTTCTTGATCTTGTTCAATAATTCGTTTACCATTTAAATTAATAGTTTCATCTTCATTATCATTATCATTCATTAACCAATATTCACAACTGTGACGTTTAGTAAATGTTTCAACAACAAATTCATTTGAATTTTCATATTGACCATATTGTCCATTCATCGTACCCCATATATCAGGAGCATTATAAAGAAGATCATTAACAATTGGAAAACCTAAATATTGTAGATGAACACGAATTTGATGCATACGACCACTTAATGGTCGACATAAAACTAAACTTGTCTTTGTATCATCTTGATCAGAATATTTATATGAGGATTCATCAATAACTATTTCATTATTTTCATTATTTAAATCAAATATAAATTTACCATGTGTTTCTTGTTGTTGTTTTAATTCTTCGTATGTTACACGACGAAATAATGTTTGACATTGTTTATTTCCTCCGATTTTAGTTAAACCAAGTTGAAATGAAAATGTTTCAATTGGTTTATCAACTCGAACAATTTGATTCATATAAGGAAATTTACCACGTACACGACATAAATAAAGTTTATCAACACTATTCGCCGATGAACGATCAGCATTAAAATCAATTGCACGTGCTTTTGCAGCTGTTTTAGCCATAATTAATATACCGGATGTCATACGATCTAAACGATGAACAGTACGAAGATTGGATAATTGATATTCATAATGAAGTATTGCAAGTACAGTATTAAATCGATATTTTCCACATGGCTAAAAAATATTAATTGTGAATTAAAAGAATTGTTAAAATATATGAGCATGTCCACAGGTAACGCACTCAGCCTTTTTTTACCTTTTGATAGTGGTAACTCAAGAGCCAAAGGTGCTAGAGAGCTGAAACTTATACCTTCATGAGATAGTTAGATGCCCTATATTTGCTAAAAATTTGATTGCTCTATCACAGTCTTAGGGGCTCGGAAAGTCGTGGTAACGCACTCTTTCTACCAGAGCCATACAAAACCATTCACATTTTTAAAAAATTTGTCGCTACGAAAAAAATGCTATTATCTGTGTTTGAAGCTAAGACATCTGGCCTGACAATAGTGGAATTTGTTTTTTCGAAATAGTTGTCATCAAAATTGAGCACCTTAAAAAGCACATCTTTTTATAGCTGTGACAGCAATAAAAGGCGATCAATCAATTTCAACGCGTAACTCAATCTTCAATAATACTACTATTATTCCCGTTACCGTAAATAATCAAGTAATATGCGAAATAAAATAACAGTCATTAAAGCCCCTTTTTCATCGATTTTGTCCAAAACAAATGACATTTATCGATAGAGTATCTATGAAAAGCTCTGAGAAATCTTCTACTCAACCTTGGCCACGCTGGTCTGTCGTTAGCTGGACAAGCTCATATGATAACAAATTAGACATACATGAACAGGCATTGAACATGGTTTATCAATAACTAAATAATCGTCATCATTAATTAAAATATTAATTTTTTGATTAATGACGGGTACTTCATGTCGATGTGTATAATGTTCAAGTTTATCACCATTTCTAATAATATAATTTTTGTCTACACATTTGTCATTGATACGTACAAGACCATTACGTATAATATCATCAAAATTTTGTTTTAATATAGCACGACGAAATTCATACTGAAAAACATCTTCAATCGTTCGTCCATACCAACGTTCTTTCGCATGTGTTATCCATGTAAAAAAATATGGATAAACTTTACGTAATTTTGGTGATTGAGGATCAGTATAATAGATTGATTCTTTTGTTAATTCGGAATCAATATAACTTGTTGATTGACGAAAACCGACTAGTTTCGATTCTGCTTTTAAACGACGACGTTCTTTAAATTTTATACGTCTTTCATCTTTTGATTCTTGACGATATTTTTCTTTTCTACTCGGTTCTTTATCTGTCATAATCTATAAGAAAAAAATTCATGAAAGAGCTTTATTGATTAATAGATAGTTTTTTTTATTTTATTTAATAAAAAATTTGTATTTGTCCTCCTTGTTGATCCCATTCATCCATAACAACAGAATGATATGCAATATTTGTTAACACAACAAAATATTCAAAAAGACAATACATCGAATAGATATTTGCTTCACAAGCACTGTTATGTCGAAAATAGAAATAAAGTGAAATGAAAAAAGACATAATATTAACAATAAACCATTTTAATCGTTTTGAACGTGCACTTCTTTCTTGATCACTTGGAAGATATTTGATTGTTCGTGGCCAAAAATAATCAATAAGTACCGTTAGAAGCATATGTACTAATGAACAAATCATAAAACCAACAAATGAACATTCATGTATCCATTTAATTTCATTTGATGATATATATGTTAGTAGAAGAAGAAATGTAAGCTCAAGAAAATGTATAATACTATTTGACATTTGAACAAATGGATAAAGTTCTGGTAAACCTATATGATGACGATTTAATAAACGTATTAATTGTAAATATGCAATTAGATAACGAGGAATACTATCTAATGCAAAACATAAACGCCAAATATAACGTTGTGGTTCACAATCACCAATTGATGCAGATATAGATGGTAGAAAATTAAAAACATTGCAATGTGTACGTGTAGATTTTTCAAAATCTTTTATAATAGATAAACCAACACAAGAAAATAGAGCAAAACCTGGTAATGAATAAGCAAACCATAAGAGATACCGTACTGGTATATGAACACCTAAAATACAAATCGAATGAAATAGATTTATACGAAGAAAAAATAATTACTTGAAGGCATTATTTGGATGGAATAAGACAGATATCACAATCTAAAAGAAAACTATTGATGGTACAGTTTGACGACTGCAAGCAAACTTATATATTTTTATTTTGATATCAAAAACAAAAAAATCGATACGATCTCATTAATTTTTTTATATTAGTTCTTTCGTGTTCGTTGATTGACCCTCTAGTTTGATTCATTGATAAAATATATTTAACCAATGGATTGCGTGAACATAAGATGTCAGGAGTAAAGTTATTTTATGACTACGAGCATTTGTAAACCTTATTAAATACAAAAAAAAAGAAAAATGATGCACCTATGATGTGTTTGTTTATCATTTTATTTCTTTTCTTGTTTATTTAAGATATACATGTCTGCGGTTGAAACTGAAAATCGACGAGAAATTGCTCGATTACCAACACGACCAGTAAATAAAAGAAAACAATAAAATAGAATTTTATTTTCTTGAATTTTTTATTATTTTATAGATTTCACTTGAAGATCGTTATGATCCTCCAGCTAATTTTCTTGAAATTGAAGTTCTTAATCCTGAAACACATGGTTTTGCTGGAAAACGATATACTGACTATGAAGTTCGAATGAAAGTAAATTCTTAAGAGAAAAAAAAACAAATTTATTTCAATAAATAAAAATTCTTTTATAGACTAATTTACCAGTATTTCGTCTAAAAGAATGTACTGTTCGTCGTCGTTATTCAGATTTTGAATGGTTACGTAAAGAACTTGAACGTGATAGTAAAGTAAGATTTAGTTAAATAATTATTTTCTTGTATTATTTTTTTTCTTCTGAAGATTGTTGTTCCACCATTACCATCAAAAGCATGGAAACGACAAATGCCTACTTTTTTTCGTCGTGATGACGGTATTTTTGAAGATGATTTTATTGAAGACCGACGTAAAGGACTTGAACAATTTATTAATAAGTAAATTAAATTTTATTAAGAAAAAATAAATTATTTATTTCTATATAGAGTGGCTGGTCATCCATTAGCACAGAATGAACGTTCTCTTCATGTTTTTCTTCAAGAACCAGCTATTGATCATGATAAATATGTTCCTGGAAAAGTTCGTAATTCATAAAATCAGCAAAATACTCAAATATTTATTAGCAATGAACAATCGATCAGTTATATTTATTGAATTAAAGTCTTCTTAATGATCCATCATATTTATGTGTATATATATATAAAAATGTAGTATTTTAAAAAATACAAAAAAACCAATTTATGTGTGATTCTTATTTCCTTTTATTTGCATTTATCTCTCTTTCAATCTCATTCACATGTAACTTGCTTCTCATTTTTGAATTTACCAATTGAATAGAAACAAAAAACAATATTAAGCTATTTCACGATTTGTTATTTTATTGTATTCTTCTTCAGATGCCATCAGGAATACCACTTACAGCTCGTACTTTAAATTCACATCAAAATGATTCTCAACGGATCGCAAATCCACGTTTGGAAGTTAATGAACGACGTCTCCGTCCTATTTATGATTACATGGAAATCCATAAGTATGAACTCGAATTATCTCTAATACTCGATCTATTCTCATGTATTTTTAGTTATCGTAAAGCATTAACAGAAATCGATCGTCTATTAAAAAAACAAGCAAATTTTACTGCATGTAAAGCACTTAAATGTCTTGTTTTACTTAAACTTGAAAGACCAGAAGATGCAAGTATATTAGCTAATGAATTAGATACACTTGCTTCAGCTACGACACGTGCAGCAGCACCTGGTGATGCATCAAATATGGATGAAAATGCCTTAACATTTTTTTCTCAATATTATAAAGATTTACGACAATATGATAAAGTTGTTTGGCTTTATGAAGCAGCAGCAAAACGTGAACCAACTAGTGAAGAATTTCTCTGTTCATTATTTATGGCCTATGTTCGTATGAAAGATTATAAAAATCAAATGTTAACAGCACAAAAACTTTATAAACTTACACGAAAAATTCCTTATTATAATTGGGCTATTATAAGTGTACTTTTACAAATTGATGAAAATTCTAATCAATTAAAACAAACACTCTATATTCCAATGGCATTGAAAATGCTTGATAAAGAATTTTTCGATGAAAATCTTCAACAAAATAAACCATATGGTGAAATGGAATGTTTACTTTATTTACATACATTAGAATTAAAAGAAGATTTTTCTAAATCATTAATTTTTCTTAATAAACATTTAGAACTTTTAACAAAAGCAGCAACAAATGAATCAATGTTACCAGCTTATTTTTCACATGAAAAACCATTAATTTATAATTATAAAGCAGGCAATTTAGATGTTACTTATCATTTAGCTAAACAATATTTAATTGAAGATAATTATCTTTGGAATTGGTATGAAGTTTTATTTGATACTTTCTTCAAATTTGATACGACAAAACAAGAAGAACTTATCAAAGATCTTCATGAATTTATTTTGAGTAAGATATTTTGAGAAATTATTAATCGAATTTCTTTTCAACTTAACTTGCAGCTACTCCCAATCAAACTGCTGATTTACGTAATATTCATCTAGCTCGTATTGAACTTGGCCTTCGATGGCAACTTACTAGATTTAAAAATAATTTATCAACATTACCTGAACTTGCTTCTACTTATCTTACGAATTCATTTTTCAACGAAATTATATCTTATATTGAGACATATTCATTAAAAACTACTAGTTTAGTTATGCATGATATATATCGAGCATTCGAATATCTAACATCTGAAGATCGATCACGTTTACATAAACATCTTATTAATCAATTAACATCTGAAACTAGTCAAACTAATATACAATATTTAATAAATATACTCTATTGTGCTCGATTATGTGGTGATATACATCATTCATGGTTATCAGAAAATTCTCATTCATTAATACAAAAGCTACTTGATTTAGTTAATCAATCATCAACACCATTACATTTATCTATTGAATTACTTACATTAATAGTGAATATCATGGATGAAACTAATCAATCGAAAAGTGAATTGTATACTTTATTAGATCGTACATATGATAAAGATTCATCGAATTTTGATGTTAAATTATATATGTATAATATCGCATTACATTTCAATTGTATAACAATAATGAAAGATTTATTTGAACGTCTTGAAATAAAAAATATTCAATATTATTCACTTGGTTATTTATTAACAGATCATTATTTACGTATACATTCAAATTATCATCATATAAGAAGTTTTTTTAATTATTTAACAAATCTTTTATTTGTTTATACTGATGATTCATGGGGACAAATTATGTTTTGTTATAAATATGGAAATTTTCTACGTATTAATGAAATTCGTACATTTTCGGATTGTTATCTTAGTTATTCATTAATTTATATACAATCATTAATAGGTTCAATTATAATTGATTTAATACAAAATGGAAATCGATATAATTCAATAGGTAAATTATTAAAATATTCATCAAGTCAAGTTTTGTTTGATCATAAACAAAAAAATAAGAATAATTCATTACATTCATTATTCTATAAAACAGATAATAATGATGTATTGAAAATTCAAGATACACGAGATTTTGATATTTGGCCAAAAATTGATTATCGTCGATTACGTTTTGATTCTGGCAATGTGAATGATAAGCCGATTGAGACAATATCTTATGCTGATCGAATTCTAATTGAAAATTCGGGTCAAACATCCTATCAATCACCATCATGTAAAGATTTCTTTCTTCGTCAATATCAAACAGTTGATTTTCAACAACGCTCAACTCTTTGTTATTTTCGTGCAAATATTCTAAATATTATCTATACATTATACGTCGATCCATCAATTTCTAAAACAGATTTAGCTGCTTCATCAATATCTGTAGTTCATATGCCGGATGAACAAGTTTTTAATTCATTGAAAATAATCATTAACGACTATGAACAATGTATTAAATCTTTAAATCCTGTTGAAACTATAACTCCATGTGAAATTCAATCAATTCTTGAACTTGAATTATATAAATCAATACCATTATTTGTTCAAATTTTACTTGAAGGAATTACATTAAATATGACTGCAGAAGCATCATCAACACCCTCAAAAATATCATTAACAAATACAATAGTTCATTTCGATAAAATTGATCAATCTATAAATGCAATTATCAAACAATTAGAACAATCTTATAAATTACTTTTAAAAAAATTAGAAAATACATCATTTCAAAAACGATGTCAGGAAACAACAGATAATAAAAATATTGATTTTCTTAATGATTTATCTGGCAAACAATCACCACTTGAATTTTATTCTGTTTATACAGAATTTATATCTTACACTTATAGTTTATATTTATCAATTAAATCAATTCTAGCTACTCTATTTAATAAAACATCTTTGTTAGTTGATAATAATGATACGACTAGTAATCGTGCATCAAATACGAAAAAATCGAAGAAAAAAGTAAATGAACAACAATCGTCAAATATATCAAATGAGAATGAAAATGAAACAAAATTATGGAATCAATTGGAAAAAATCGAATCTTTATATAATGAACAATGGACACAAATTATAGAAAATATTCGAAAATATGAATTATTTATTCGAATGCAAGCTAAAGTAAATGATAATGAATATGATCGACTTGAAAAAGAACTTATTGGAGATACTGATCAACAAATGAATAAGTCAGTTTCTTTTTTTATTAAATCATAATTTAGAATTTTATTTTTTAGGTCAAAATCAAAATTAGATGAAAATGATAATAGTGATTCTTCATCATTATCAACTATGACAAAGGAGAACAATAATAATGATGAACAAACATCTAGTTCTGTTTTTGAATTAGGAAAAATTGTTATGCGTCCATCTACTGTGCATACATTTGCATTAGGTTATCTTGAATCATTTATACAGATACGTGTATGTTTAGCAAGTAAACAAAAGACTCTTCAACTTCGTCAACAATCATCAACATAATATTATTTATTGACATATCTTTTGTGTTGTGCATCGTTTTCAATCAACATTGTGACTTTTTTCTTTTTTCTTTTTTTTAACCTGTGATCTGATTGATTTCGTTTATCCGTTAGGAGAGAGAAAGAGAGTTTTTCATGAATACGAACATGTTTGAAGTAAGTATTTTATTTTTAGGATTAATAGAAAAAAAGAAAAAAAATCTATTGACATATGTTTCCGTCTTTTTTATTGGATCACATTTGTTATGTTTGTTATCATGTTTTTTTTTTCTTTTCGTCAAAAAAAAAATTTGAAATTATTCATCATTTGATTTTCTTTACTTACCCCAATTCAAGTTCTTAACGTTCAATAAATATAGATTTTCTTTTCCAGGTGATCCTTTTGATGTCTGAAAATACATCTTGTATATTCTTATGTAACCATTCCATAAGATCTCTTTCGTGTGAGACTTGACTTGAGTTCGGTTGATGATGTCGACATCGAACATTTAGCATCTGAAGATTATTCATTTTTATAATAAGATTATATACACATGTCCAATCTATGACATCAATAGTAAGAATTTTACATTGAATACCAAGTATTGAACGACTAAAATGGTCGCACTCTTCTTGAGTGTAATAATATTCCCGTCCCGTACGACACTGTAAATCTAGTTCGAATACTGACACATCCTTAATACTACATTGAGGCATATTTAGAATCGCCGAAGGCCATCCACACAAACGTAATGAAGTTACACGACGATATTGTTCTAGTATGTGTTGCAATTGATTTAGACAATTTACTTCACAATTATAAGCCGATGAACCGTTTTGTCCATTTGTATAGAGAAAACGTTTAGCTCCAATAAGATCGATAGTAATATACTGGATATTAGAAAACTGAATATGAGACAATGTCAAAGAGTCATAAAGGTGGTCGGTAGTGGCATTAAACGTTAGTCTACGTACACAATCATAGAAACATGGAGTATTATCAATTGCACAGGTGAATTTTGAACATATCGGAAAATCAATATTAAAATTTTCAAAAGCATATGGTAAGGTGTAAACATAACACTTTTCAGTTATTGGACTCCAATCACATTGAACAAACCATCGATGTTCATCAAGCCAAAAAGAGTTTCGAAAAGTGTTAAGAATTTGTTCTACTTGTTTTTCTCCAGTACTTCCCGCTTTGACAGTTGTAAAATTCATTTTAAAGTGCAAAGTTTTCAGCTTTGGGAGATACTTCTGAATTAATCTTTCCCATACTTGTGCATGAATACCATTGTATACCATATCCAGTTTTAGGTAAGTTAGATTCGGTGTTCTACGTAAAAAATCTACCAATGGACTAAATGCGGGCTTCGTAAACAATAAATCCAATTTGGTTATCGAAGTTATGTTTGTTGATAAATCAGTAAGGAAAGAACAGTCATGAATAGTAAGAGATAAGCATCGTATTTGTGGTGTATGTCTCAGGAGAGCAATTATATTTGTGTCTCGTTCATCGAAAAAGCCATGTATATATTTGATGGTTGATGATGTTACTCTTGGTGTATGAAAGGCTAGTTGTTCTGAATCAGAGTATGTATTGAAACGAAAATAAACAAGATTAGATAGACTCCAAATAATATTTATCATATACTGATAATTGAAGATAGATTTTTCGAAAGTCAGATGAGTTAGAGTCGTTAGATGAGGCAAATCGTTCGCTATTTTGTCCATTATTTCCTTTGAATGAATATGAAATAGTGCAAGATATTGTAATTGAGGAAAATCGCACAATGTAAAACCATGTGCATAAAATTGGTCGACTTGATCGGGAGTATTCACATCGTTCGATAAACTGAGTGAAGTTATTTTACCAGCCAGTGGTGAAAGATATTGCTCCCAAATAAGATCAAAATTAAATTTTGATGTCGTTTGAAGATCGATATATTTACACGTATATAGATGCTTGTCAACAAGTTTATCAAAACGACGATTAAGTTGACAGAAGATACGAAGAACATCAGGAGTCGAAAGATATTGAAATATATTGAATAACAATTCATTAGGTAATAATTCTAAACACATTGACATTTAGTTAATAAGTCCCTAAATAGACTGAAAAAAGATGAATTGACTTCATTCAGTCTGTTTGAGACCTTATCTAAAATTTCGGTTTTATCAACATACAAAATCACCCATTCAAATAAATTGAATGTTTTTTTCGAAAACATATAAATATGTTTACTAGATGGCGCTTATGATCGATATTTTTTTAATGCATTAATGAAAACCATCTTGTGGGTGTCGGTGTGGATGTAGACAAGGGTGTAAGTTATGAGAAGATTTATTATCTCACCGTAGCTTTTATCATCATTCTTTTTCTTCAAACAAATAATTTCATTACTATGAGAAATTGATAACATATCACAAATATTAGGCTCATGTAAAACGAAAGAAGCAAAGCAACAACACACTTTATTCCATTTAATATTAAACGTCACACAAAGCCATTGCAATAATTTTAACTAACGTCGAAGAAAATGTCTGTTAGTTTTGTTACATTACCGGTAGAACTTGTCTACCGAATTCTGGATTATCAAAGCGATATTACTATTACCCAGGCAGACAAGAATTTGAAAAAACGCGTGTAAACGTACAGTCGGAAACCTCGACTGTGAGCTAAACACGTCAACTAATAAAACGCCAAAAACGCCGTTTTTAACGTGTAA